GTGTCATAAACTATGAGTCTCATGCTGTGTCATAAACTATAAGTCTCTTGCTGTGTCATAAACTATGAGTCTCTTGCTGTGTTACAAACTATGAGTCTCTTGCTGTGTTACAAACTATGAGTCTCTTGCTGTGTCATAAACTATGAGTCTCTTGCTGTGTCATAAACTATGAGTCTCATGCTGTGTCATAAACTATGAGTCTCTTGCTGTGTCATAAACTATGAGTCTCTTGCTGTGTTAGAAAGTATGAGTCTCTTGCTGTGTCATAAACTATGAGTCTCTTGCTGTGTCATAAACTAAGAGTCTCTTGCTGTATCATAAAGTATGAGTCTCTTGCTGTGTCATAAACTATAAGTCTCCTGCTGTGTCCTAAACTATGAGTCTCTTGCTGTGTTAGAAAGTATGAGTCTCTTGCTGTGTCATAAACTAAGAGTCTCTTGCTGTATCATAAAGTATAAGTCTCCTGCTGTGTCATAAACTATAAGTCTCCTGCTGTATCATAAAGTTTAAGTCTCCTGCTGTGTTACAAAGTATGAGTCTCCTGCTGTGTTACAAACTATGAGTCTCTTGCTGTGTTATAAAATGGTCACTTTTATTGTAATTTTGATGTATAAAATATTCAGTACGGGAATATTAGTACACATCCACATACGCATCCATACAGACATCTCCCATACACCCAAGATTACACACACAAGTACATATATATATATATATATATATATATATATATATATATATATATATATATATATATATATACATACATACATATATATATATATATATATATATATATATATATATATATATATATATATAGAGAGAGAGAGAGAGAGAGAGAGAGAGAGAGAGAGAGGGAGAGAGAGAGGGAGATATTTTTCTGTAAATATAGTTTTTAGTCAAAGTTATTCTAATGATACCCAATGGTGATGATAATGACGACGAAACAAACTAGAAAATGCAACGAGTTTACATTATAACACAAATGCTGTTAACTTATATTAAATAATGCATACATTAAGTTATATAAGAATATCAGCACAGCAGTATCACATATTACTTCATGGTTACATATACTGTGCAATACAAGAAACGCAACATATGTGATGTTGCATCTGAAAGTGAATCTTACTGCTCGTACAAGGGAAAAGTAGTCTGAAATGTACATCTGATAATCAATTTCACTTCTGTGCTTAAAACTTTACTCACTTAATAATCGTGAGCACGGAGAAAGCAATAAAAGTCAAAATTACATTTTTTGACAATAACTCGGGGCAGGTTCACAAGAATCACGGGATAATTTGTAAACATAAAACTTACTGACGAAGCTATAGAATAACATTACATAACCCTTGACACATAAACCCCGCCATCTTTCTCTGTCTTCTGCTTGGTGAATAAGTATATGATAACTTAGTTCTGTCGATTTCTTGATGTTGTCATTTCAGGTTCTTCTTTGCCCTCCTCTTCTTCTACTACCCTCCCATGTTCCTTGAAGTACAGTCTTTGCAATCGAATCATGTCTCACCACTTGCCCAAACCAAGCTAGCTTGCGACTTTTCACACTGCCAAGAGAGGCTATAGAATACCTACAAAGGAGCCAGGTTTCTTGAATCAGTTCGGTTGAAAATTCAGTGCGCAAGCACGGCTCAGCTTACTACAGAACGACTCAACATCATTGGACATTTAACAGGCTGGCCAGTCACAGAGTGAAGTGCCAGATAATATAATGTGGTTAGGATATTAGTTACCTTTGGAAGGTATTTCACTAAACTGGCTCAGTGGCTGACCGGCTGCGCGGTGGAAAACCGCTTCATACGGTTACGTCACCTCAGGTATCGATTTGCATCTGCGTCGCCCACAATTCATTCAATGCCAAAAGCTCGTGATATTTATGTTTAAATGGCAGGATTCGGTCGCGTGACGCTGGTCAATGGGCTCGAAGACTCTGCATCGAATGTCCTGTTTTTATTTACCGACATCGCCAGAACCGATTTCAGTGGTCAAACATGCGTGATCAAAGGACACATGAACAACCAACGATACGCCGCTGAAATTCTTCATCCTCACGCCGATCCGTTCCTGGTTGCTGTCGAATTGTCAGCAGGATAACGCTTGACAACAGTGGCACAACAGACTACCCAGCTCCTCGCCACATCATCCAGACCATTCTATTTCCAGTCATATCATCAGACATTAACCCTATAGAACACTTATGAGATGAACTCCATAGACGAGTCCGTCAAACAGTTGTCTCTTGCACTCTGAGAAGGTTGGAAGTTATCCCACAACAGATTCAACAATGCCGAAGAGATGCCGTTCTCTAACAGAAGCTAGAGGAGGCCGTACACCCAATTGAAACGGAGGTCCCATTCGAAAAAAGTAAAAGTTCAAACCAAATTTAATGAACATCTTTACATAGTTCATGCCGCAAAGTTTCCTCCTGGCACGACTGAAACATGAACTTCGGTTAAGAAAGCTTTCTTACAATTTCGAAGTTAGCTGTTCATTACAGCATTGTGTTTATTTGTGTTGACAGTGCTATAAGGAACGTGTAATCACTTTAGTTATATATTTACAGTAAAATTTGAGATAAGAAACACGTCAGGCAGGTGCTTTATTAATATCTTACCCCAAACAGGGAAAATCAACAGGTCACGGGACAGTCTAATATTTCAAGGGGTGGTAGTTAGGCTGCATGCAGTCGTAGGACCTAGGCTGCATTCATTCGTGGGACTTAGGCTGCACTCTCTCGTGGGACGTAGGTGGGCTGGGGTTAGGGCCAGTTCTAGACATGTTGAGGTCATTAAAAGCATCACATAGCCGGGAAACCCAGTCTTACCACCCTCTAAAATGTTGGACTGTCCTGTGACGTCATCTGTGGTAGGTTATTAATAAAGAACCGTTAGGCCTCTACCTAACTGTGGCTGTCCCTACCGACGGCCCCGATCTAATTAACACATTTTACAGTCGTCAAACAAGTCAACCCTTAGTTTTGAGACTATGTTTTACTTGACACCGCAATTTCCTGTTGACAAGTAAAGGGTGTTTTAACTGTAAGAGGGTCGACATAACGTCAGATTTCATCTACGATGGCTTGGCTTTTCTCCACTAGGCTGCTGGTCACCCGAAAATCGTCACACAAAGCACTAACTCTGCAGATCTAGCAACAAGAGGAGCCACCGCAAGGAAATCATTGTTAAAAAAAATGTGGAAGGGGGTGGGGAGGTGGTAGACCGCCATCTTGAGAAAGCCTCCACCTGCTCCATCAGGTGCGTTTGACAGTTCTAATATGTAAACCTGGCTTTAACCCCCACCTGACCCTCGACGCTAGTCCCTAACCCCTATAAAACACCTCGGCTAACAAACCATATTTATTACTATATACCCAATCTAATAAGGTCACAGGCACTACGTCATATTTATGGTGCGCCACCATCTAAAGAGATTGTGTTTGTTTTTTTAAACTTCACTCCTTATCGGAAAATCCACATCGAATCGCGCCTAGATTAATACTATCATAGACAGGGTAAGTGGTAAATGTATAATGGCGGGCTAGAAATAGAAAGAGTTAAACTATTCACATGTAAAAGAAAAACGTAAATTCATAGTAAAGGCTTTTTTTTTTTTTTTATTCAACTGTAGCAGCGATAAAAAAAAAAGCATTAGACGCTTGCCTGTCGGCTGGAACGTCTTGGGTGCGAACCTGCATGGAGTCCGATTTTGTGTGTGTGTGTGTGTGGGGGGGGGGGCAAAACTGACCTTGGCTTTTAACTAATTTTGCGAGTACCCATAAATATATTTGAACTTATTTTCAAAGCAGATTCAGCTACTTGTTTAAACATGTTACAGACACTCTCCGACCATTCCCCTCTCCCCCACCCCCTCTCCCCAGCTATTATGTGTTAAAGAAAATAAAATAAAATACAAGGAAGAAAGACAGACAGACAGACAGACAGACAGACAGACAGACAGACAGACAGACAGACAGACAGACAGACAGACAGACAGACAGACAGACAGACAGACAGACAGACAGACAGACAGACAGGCAGGCAGGCAGGCAGGCAGACAGACAGACAGACAGACAGAAAGCCACCTCTAGCATTAACAAAAAGACTGTTTGATGGGGACATCAATTATTGTTTTGGAAGATGAGGTTTCTGCTGCAGAGATTTCCAACACATCATTCCCTCTGTTGTAACTGCCCGCTGGCCTATAACTCTGTTTCTGTGACAGGGTCTGTAAGATGGGTCATGATGGCCGCTGTTGTAACTGCCCGCTGGCCTATAACTCTGTTTCTGTGACAGGGTCTGTAAGATGGGTCATGATGGCCGCTGTTGTAACTGCCCGCTGGCCTATAACTCTGTTTCTGTGACAGGGTCTGTAAGCTGGGTCATGATGGCCGCTGTTGTAACTGCCCGCTGGCCTATAACTCTGTTTCTGTGACAGGGTCTGTAAGCTGGGTCATGATGGCCGCTGTTGTAACTGCCCGCTGGCCTATAACTCTGTTTCTGTGACAGGGTCTGTAAGATGGGTCATGATGGCCGCTGTTGTAACTGCCCGCTGGCCTATAACTCGGTTTCTGTGACAGGGTCTGTAAGATGGGTTATGATGGCCGCTGTTGTAACTGCCCGCTGGCCTATAACTCGGTTTCTGTGACAGGGTCTGTAAGATGGGTCATGATGGCCGCTGTTGTAACTGCCCGCTGGCCTATAACTCGGTTTCTGTGACAGGGTCTGTAAGATGGTTCATGATGGCCGCTGTTGTAACTGCCCGCTGGCCTATAACTCTGTTTCTGTGACAGGGTCTGTAAGATGGGTCATGATGGCCGCTGTTGTAACTGCCCGCTGGCCTATAACTCTGTTTCTGTGACAGGGTCTGTAAGCTGGGTCATGATGGCCGCTGTTGTAACTGCCCGCTGGCCTATAACTCTGTTTCTGTGACAGGGTCTGAAAGATGGGTTATGATGGCCGCTGTTGTAACTGCCCGCTGGCCTATAACTCGGTTTCTGTGACAGGGTCTGTAAGCTGGGTCATGATGACCGCTGTCGTTGGAGGAGTTTCCTCCAGCCAGCACATTCCCATCACATCAAGAACCTGTTTAACAAAAATGTATTTACCCATCTTAAAACATTATTTAAAACCCATCTGTTTAAAATATTATTTACAACCCATCTGTTTAAAATATTATTTACAACCCATATGTTTAAAATATTATTTAACATTTAACGAACAATTATTTAAAAAAAAAAAGAAAACTTACACACACACACACACACACACACACACAGAAGAAAGAAAATTAACTTTAACCTTCAACTGGCACCATTAGCAAAGCCGATCCAAATACCGGATGACAAAGAAGAGGGTTGGCCCTTAGGCCAGCTACCCCACCATGTAAAAAGAATGTGCCACAGAAACTACAGCGTTTCATCGGTTACAAGACAAAGAAAAGGACAGTATGTTGGACACATCATGAGTAGAAACAGATAAACACCAAGAAGTCCAAACAATTGTACTGAGTAAACCAGGACGTCCAAATGACCCTAAGAAAAACATTTTTTTGAGAGAAATTGTTCGTTATTTGAAGCCCTACTCTGGCTCTTGCCAGGTGCCGCAATATAGCCTGGCCATAAATATGGCCTAAAGACTGAACTCGGTTTCTGGGACCTCTCCACGGTGATCCTCACCCGCATGGTGGCACATTGTGTCATCAGGTGTTTATAGCTTGTGTGATGTCCTGGTGGGGTAGAAAGTTAGTCAGTCAGTCTGTTCGTTTACTTTCAATTTAAAATGACTTGGATAATATCACATTTTTATACAATCATGTCATCATCATCATCAGTTCTCGTTATGCCTAGTGGCACATGAGGCTTCAGAGAGGACTTTCCATGCTTTCCTGTTCTGTGCAATCTTCATTGCAGTTTTCCATGTCAAAGATGCCGCACTCAGGTCACTTTCCATCGTTCGTCTCGATGTTGTTTTTGGGCGCTCCTGTTTTCTCTTTCCCTCTGGTGTCCATGTAAGAGCTGTTTTGGCAGGTATATCAGAAGTCATTCTCATAACGTGGCCAAGCCATTTCCATCTTCTCTTGGTAATCATACTGTCTAAAGTTTCTCGGTTTGTGGCTTGAAGTAGTTAAGTGTTTGAGATTGTATCTGGCCAGAAAATTTTGATAATTCTACGTAGACATGTGTGGTGGAAGGTGGACAGCTTGTGTGCATCCTTTTTGGTCATTCTGACATTATGACAGTCATGTCATAATTTAGGTTATATGCTTTTGCCATTTCAAATTCAGAAAAGAAAGAGAAAAAAAAATGAATTTATAGCACGATTGATTTGTTATTCACTTGGTGTAATCCACACATGCTTTAAAGCGCGCTTGCACTGAGCTGATGGCTTCCTAGAAGGGCTGCTACAGTTTTGTTGCTAATGGTATCAAATTTTGATTTTGAAAACGTAGAAAATAAACAAAAGGCACTTAATTTTGTTTTTATTTTAAAAAAAAAAACAACGTTAAAACTCATTTAACTCCCACACACAGACAGAAGAAGAACGGAGTTAAAAGAAGAACGGAGTACTTGTGGGTTTCTACCCTTGTGCTTTGATGTTGATCCGTCGTTTCACCTTAAATCTAATATATCACCGGGGGGGGGGGGGTGGCGCGAATGCTGCCTGTCTCCTTAAGATGTTTGTAATAATTTGTTATCGAGCCCTCTTTCAAAACATTTGCATTGCTTTTTTTTTTCTGCAAAAACATATTTGCTAGACTAAAAAAAAAAAAAAAGCTAAATATTTACCTGATTGCCGATGACTCCAATTCTCCCATGTTTCTGTAACTTTGATTTCATAGTATGAAAAGTAACTGAACTGGCCGGAAGTAAATCATTAATGGAGACCAGACTGCCATTAGAGGCGATGGTTTGACAGTACATCACGTGTCTACTGTCCATACCGGCGATAAGTCCATGATACCCTCTCGCTACGGACTCATTTGTTGCGTGGAGTGTCAACTCTTTGGCTGTTGATTTGTCAAAACTCTGGCCGTGTGTAAGTTGTCTGGGATACGTGTGTTGGGAGAAGAACTGATCTATTGCAAGTTCTGGGCACTGTGAATGATTGTCCTCAGCGGAATAACAGTCTCCCGAAAGCACTGCCTGAAGAGCTTTAACTGACAACTCGGAATCTGGTCTGTTTAAGAAGGCCTTTGTTTCCTCTGGAAAACAGCCAGTTTCATCTGGTATTTCTTTGATAATTTCTTCTAAAGATGGAATCGGAGACAATCTATAATAACAGTTATCAACATGATTATTCTCACCTTTAAATTGCACTGTAGTGTCTTTTGCATTTTCTCTACAAGAGTGAAGGTTTAACTTGTTCATAGATTCTGTATATACCTGATTATCTACATGAATATCGCCCTTAACACCAACTTGAAGACGACTGGTAGATTCTCTATTATTGCTTGTGTCCGGATGTGTATGAGATTTGAGTTTATCTCTGTGCACAAGTTCATCTTGAGTATTGTTTACTGAAACATCCTCTCCAGAGATTATGGACACGCGGAGTGGAACTCCTCGTTTGATAAGCTCCCTGTAACGTCTGGAAATGGCTGTGCTTGAGTCACTAGCGCTACTGGATAATTGTTCCTGGGCTTGAGGTAAGTGTGGATGTCTTCTCTCCTGAGGGTCATCTATAACAGAATGCAATGCACTGACGGAACTGGGTCTACCCATGTGATTAGGCGACGGGTATTTCTCATCAGGAGCAAGAATACATTCGGTCGAGTTGCGGTTGTGTCCCTTACTGGGAAGTTTTCTCCTATGCATGTTGGTATCATAAGAGGAAAATGAATTACTGTTGTTCCAAGACTCCGAATCTGGACTGTCCTGCCAGCTAGATTTTTTCTTAGCTCCCTGGATGCTTCCCAGACAACTCGAGCAAGCACAGCTACACCTACCTTGGGATAGAATATCTGACGGATATAAAGACGAACTCTCTTCGGGGATTTGCAAAGCTGCAGCTGCACAAAGACAAGACTCATTACTGGATATGGATGCGCTATCAAAACCGCTGTCGATGATTTTAATTCCATGGGGTAGATAAGAATTCGAATGTGCAAGCGAAGTATTGCTGTTAATAATATCATTCATGTCTGACTCAATTTTATCAATACTCATCGCGTGAGACTGCAGGCTCTCTGTGTTCATGTGATCAGATTCGGTTGATGGTGGCTCCACACTAGTGAACGACTGGTCACCTGGTCCCTGTGAGCTGTCCGTGTCAGTGGTGGGCGGCTGAGACCTTGAAACCCTCCTCACATGTGTCACATTGCTTGTGTAAAGACCAGCAGGGGGATTAGGGGCCGGACGACTTTTAGCAGAATGTTGTGTTCTTTCTGTTGACCCTGAAGCCTGATTCAAAACTACACTATTTTCGTCTTTTAGTAAAACGAGCTTTGCATCCGGCTGATCACGTAAAGAATTGCCACTGGCGGGATGAGTCTTCATTGAATACTCGAGGTCTGCGCTAAAAGTTGCTGATTTTGTGTTGTCTTTATATGCCGTAGCTGAAGTGTCGCCATTTATTTCAGTCATTGTTGTCATGTGGTTGTCATGACGACTTGAGTATTTTTGCTCGACTTCTTTCCCTTTTGTACCTCTTGCTTCCTGATACACAGACAGCGTTTTCAGCCCACGAAATGTCTTTTCCGCAAAAGCTTTCTTCAAAGACGCGCGAGCTTTGCTTCTCTTTAATGATGACCTTACATTCCACTGCTGATAATGGGAGTTGCCAGCATTCTTCACTCCGCGCGTATCTTTTTGTATTCGGTATACTGAGCCTGCATTTAGTGGAGACAATCTGTCATTTAGTTGTTTCTTGTTGTCGCTATTAATCTCCTGATTTATATAATGGTCCTTTTCATTTGAAACCTTTGACAACTGAGAATCATCTGTGTTATGACGAAGTACAGAATCAGGCAATTTCTTTGTGTTTTTGATCGAAGGATAATATTCTTTTGCATGATAATTGTTCTTTGGAAGATGCTCATTCCTAATTCTTTCTTCATAATTCATCATCAGTTTTTCAACTTTTGCATCTTCTTTAGCTTTGAGAAGATCTCTAAGTAAGTAGTTCGATGTATATTCATTGTCGCCAACGGCCGGCAAGACTTCAAGAATTTTGTCTTCAGTTAAACTTGTTGTCCCCACAGAAATTGTTTTATGCAATCGTTTCGTATCAGAACTCCCAGCTTTAAACGATATAGTGTTTAAAGTTACATCTGAAGACTTGTGATCTGTTTGCATAATTGTACTTCCACTGCAACTGCCATATCCTGAGCTGCAATTCTCGCCAGATTTTTTGAATGTATGTGCCGCTGGAATGAATATTTCCCTGCCGTCGTCAGCTATGGATGTAACATACCCAGCTTGCTGTTGATGTCCGCTTATATTCCTAAAGGCGTTTTTACGAAGTCTCTGGATATCTTCTTCTATTATCTCTTGCTCTGCTGGATCAGGGTCTGGTTTCAAGGATCGAAAAGCAGAATAATTTGGAAACGTAAAGTTGTTCGCCTTCTTAACAAAAGACAGACCAATCGAGGCTTTTTTCGTCTCTGGTGTAGTTTCGTTATCAGTGTCGCACCAATCTTCACTTTCGTTGTGATCATGGTGGCTCATCTTTCGTTTTTGAAGCTTCCAGTTGTTGTCTAGGTTGTACTCTGCATACTCCTTTCCATTAATCTCTTCATGGGCTGTCATTTTGTTTCCAGAAATATGTGAATGCAGTGAAATGGTTGCTGCCTCTCTGTCTTCAGGTACATCTGATTTTGAACCATCAACTTGAACGTTCACATGACCAGCTTTGGCCATTTTCTCTGCTGAGCTGACGATGTATTCTGGTTCGCCAGGAGCACAGTAAGGAACTTCAGCTTTATCAAAACGTCTCATTCTGTATTTCCCACTATCCGCAGCCGCTGCAACTACCTCATACCCATCTGCATTACCGCCCTGGCTTTGTTTAAAATTACATGTCTTCACGTGACCTAAGTCTTCTGTCTCTTGCAGTTCTCTGGATGCTGTCTGTGAACTTGGTGACTCAGTTGCCATAGAGCGCCATTTCTGTTTCGTCTCCTTCTGTCTGCATTCACACACACGGATCATCATTTCTATCCCCACTAGAGCATAGGCGCGAATGTCGGGAAGGAAAAACTGCTTTCTGCTGACTGTGGTGTTCTGGGAGCCTGTTAGAAGAGTGCCATAAATGTGGGCATCTTCGAAATCGCCAACTGCTGCCCGGACGATCAAACACTGTTGGAAGCAGAACGGTACATACTTTTTTATTACTGTTTTGTGACATGCTTTAATAAACAAACAAGATATGCATTAGGTGATATTTTATGTGAATAAAAGTGTGTGGGTGTGTGTGTGGGTGTGTATGTGTGTGGGTGTGTATGTGTGTGGGTGTGTCTGTGTGTGAAAAGCGGGTAGAGGGGGTCCATGTTATAAATTATGATTTGGGTTATCTTCACGGCACTCCGCACATGTCCACGGGTGCTCTGATTTTCCCTTCAACATGTACATCAGCATCCCGCGGTTGATAGTCCCAGTCCTATGTTGGTTTATAAGACTTCTCGTGCGTCCGGTGTGCTTCTCGTGCCTGATAGGGCAAATTTTTACTTCAAGTTATTGCACTCTTAGCAAAGATGTGGATTTTATGCTCCCAAAATCATACGATCGTCCTACCTCTCTAATGGAATTAACAATTTCTGCATTATCCATGGATCGGTCTTCTGTAACTAAGGTAGAGCCGGCTAATCTGTCGGCTCTTTCGTTGTCAACAACACCCGCATGTACTAGGACAAAAATTAATTCCACACACCGTGCCGTTTGCAGTGCCTCGATCCACTGTCTGCGTACAAAGTCCTCGACCCACCGAATCATGCTCATGGAATCACTCAGCATGCGATGCTAGCCACATGAAAGCTCGTGTTACCGCCATTGTCCTGCTGCTAGTAGTCATACAAAAAGCACCACTGGCCTCCTGGACGGTTCTGCCTGCAGTAAATGCCCATGCACTTTTTTGTCCTGGTACAACGGACTCATCTATGTAGATCAGTACGGGGGGAGGGGGGGTGGTCACGTGTGTGTGTGAGTGTGTCTGCGTGGGCGGGTGTGTATGTGTGATAGAAGAGAGAGAACAAGAGTATTAGTAAATTATATATAGATATTTTCACAATGCCTTTTTATCTATCTAAAAAGATCTATCTATCTATCTATCTATCTATCTATCTATCTATCTATCTATCTATCTATCTATCTATCTATCTATCTATCTATCTATCTATCTATCTATCTATCTATCTATCTATCTATCTATCTATCTATCTATCTATCTATCTATCTATCTATCTATCTATCTATCTATCTATCTATCTATCTATCTATCTATCTATCTATCTATCTATCTATCTATCTATCTATCTGTCTATCTATCTATCTATCTATCTATCTATCTATCTATCTATCTATCTATCTATCTATCTATCTATCTATCTATCTATCTATCTATCTATCTATCTGTCTATCTGTCTGTCTGTCTGTCTGTCTGTCTGTCTGTCTGGCTGGCTGGCTGGCTGGCTGGCTGGCTGGCTGGCTGGCTGGCTGGCTGGCTGGCTGGCTGGCTGGCTGGCTGGCTGTCTGTCTGTCTGTCTAATCTTGCTCGCTTGCCATGATTGCATACAGAAAGATTAACGTCCAGTGACCCAAAGAGCCACTAATCGGGTGAGAATCCAACAGAAGAAAATCCCAGAAACTCATTCTACGGTATACCACAGTTGTATTAGGGCACCTGGTGATTATAGAGAGATATCCAGTCCAAAGTTTCTAAAATAACGTCAGCAAACAAAGTTCACGATTGGCAAGACCTGTTCTAGATCTTCGGCGCGTTAAAACTGTTTAACGTAAGCCAGCATGCCGCGATCGAAACCCACTGCAGGCTGCGTGGATTTTTGTCGTGATATGGGACGTCGCAGGTCGACCCAGCCTAAAATGGGTACCAGAATGGGCTGTTCTGGGAAAGCAAAGACAGCCGGCGTAATGCTGACCACATTACCCACAGAGTGCTGATGGTCTGTAAAAATATGGGACGCTCTGCCTATATGCCCGATGCGCCGAAAGGCGTGAAAAGGGAACTTTACTTTTATTTTTTTACTTGGAAACGTTAATATTATCTGCGAGCCCTGTCACGCGTAAAACCGGCAGCAGAACACGGAATTCTGTACACTCGAAATTGTATTACAAAAGTAACGCTTGCCACAACTATTTCTACTAATGCAAGTACTGCTGCTGCTGTTGCTTGTGCTGCGGCTGATAATGCTACTGCTGCTACTACCACTTCTTCTTCTTCTTCATCTACTGTTACTGTTTACTATTATTACTACTACTACTTTTACTACTATCACCACCACCACCACTATCATTACTACTTCTGCTGCAACTAGCACTTCTGCTGTAACCACCACTTCTTCTACTACTAAATTCTACTACTACTACTACTACTACTACTACTACTACTACTACTACTACTACTACTACTACTACTACTACTACTACTACTACTACTACTACTGCTACTACTAATACTACTACTACTACTACTACTACTACTACTACTACTACTACTACTACTACTACTACTAATACAACTACTACTTCTTCTTCTTCTTCTTCTTCTTCTGCTTCTAAGATTACAATTTCTATTACTACCACACACAAACACGAATAATATTAACTGCCAAAAAATAATAATAATAATAATAATAAAGAAACAAAAGAATAACATATCATCATCTTACAACAAGCACACCCACACTTCACCTGTACTGATCCCTTTAAATAAACGGCTGCGGAAGTGAGGTTCCTGTGAAGAACATTCTGCTCGTGAAGGTAGGACAGTCCCTCGGCCACGTCATGCATGATCGACCTCTGGCACGTCTCGGGCAATGGGATTTCCATGACCTTCAGCAGCTCTTGCAGTGTTCCGGCAGAGGTCAGCTCCAGGCAGGTTAATCTAGCAGCAGGAGAGATACAGGACAGGGTATTTTAGCACGGTAGGAGTGGAACAGCCCTGAGGTCTGTTGACGATAGACACGTTCATGGAAAGGCAAAAAGACAAACAGGACATAAATGGGCGGGCAGCGAGACAGACAGTCAGTCAGTCAAACATACAGACAGATACACACGTACACACACACACACACACACACACACATATATATATATATATATATATATATATATATATATATATATATACACACATACACATAGAGAGAGAATGAGAGAGAGAGAAAGTGAGATAGAGAGAGAGACAGACAGAGAGAGACAGAGAGAGAGCGAGAGAATCCTTTAAACTCTAAAGTTTGATAGAAGGGTTTGTTTTCGTCTTTCCCTGATGAACACCTATGATTCTGTCCCCTGTATGTTCCTTTTTCTTCCAGATAATCAACCCCACTGGCACGAGACGATAGTGTCCAATAATAATAACACTCTGAAATGACCTATGTTGAGATGGCGGCTCGTATTGGTGTAGAAAGTACTTCGTAGCTACAACAACCGTCTAACATCAATTCAGGGATGAGGCAACACACATTATAGGCTCCACAGAATTTCTACTATTCCTGGGCACATTTTGGCCAACACTTGTTTGTCCCTAGATATGATAGGATCGCTATCATAGTGAAAATAACCACACAGTATTCAAAGAAATCTAACAAATATAACAATACACTCACACAGAACTAAATAAAGAGAACTGTGAAATACTGGACACCAACAAAGTGAAGTTCAGAATAACAGTGCGTGATTAATAAGTGCAACATAATTAAATAGTCTCAAAGGAAAGATATTCAAGAATGCATCGCTGTTAAGGACAATATATACCAATCACTGGTATTGTCTATTTTCTTATACAAATGTGAAAGTTGGACTCTCACTGTGGAAATGGAAAGGAGGATTCAGGCTTTAAAATGTAAATGTTATAAACGCATTTTACGAATTAGTTATTTAGAACACAAAACTAACAAATATGTCAGAGACAAAATATAAAAATTTGCAGGACATCGGAAGCCTCTGTTGGCGGTGGTGAAACATCGCAAGCTAGCTTGGTTCAGACAACTTGGTGAGACATGATTCGACTGCAAAAACTATGAAAATTGGAAAAAAAAAAGGGGGGGGGGGGTAGTCGAATAAGCGGAGGGTAACGTAGCAAAGAAGAACTGGAATGACATCATCAAGAATTGGATAAGACTAAGTTACCAGTTCATCAAGCGAAAAACAAAGAAAGACAGCGGGTTTTGTTGACAGAGAAAGATAGCGGGTTTTGTTGACAGAGAAAGATAGCGGGTTTTGTTGACATAGAAAGATAGCGGGTTTTGTTGACAGAGAAATATAGCGGGTTTTGTTGACAGAGAAAGATAGCGGGTTTTGTTGACAGAGAAAGATAGCAGGTGTTGTTGACAGAGAAAGATAGCGGGTGTTCTTGACAGAGAAAGACAGCGGGTTTTGTTGACAGAGAAAGATAGCGGGTTTTGTTGACAGAGAAAGATAGCGGGTTTTGTTGACAGAGAAAGATAGCGGGTTTTGTTGACAGAGAAAGATAGCGGGTTTTGTTGACAGAGAAAGATAGCGGGTTTTGTGTGTTAATGCTTCCATTGATACACATATACGACCCTAACGGGTCAAGGGTTATGTTGTGTTTTGTTAAACTGGAGCCTGTCCCTGCTTGGGTTCACATCCCTACAAGGTTTTTTTTTAATGATCTTTTCCCCGATGTTTCTGCTTACCTTCTATCCATTTTCTAAACTTAACACTATATACACAAGTATCTCTGTCACAACGCTTAAGAAGCTACCCTCAATGCGTCCATCTTGAGTAGCAAAACAAAAACAAAAATGCAGTTATTGAAAACCGCGTTCTTTTCCACTATGAGAAATTGCCAAAAGAATTGTTTACGTTACATTGGTGACGGGTAGATGAGAAATGAGAATACCCTTCGCCTAGACAGCCTACCCCGGATGACTTCAGAGCGAATGCCAGAAGTAAAGGGGATATTACTGTTATGATATTACTCGGGTCGGCTCCGTGGCTAAGTCGATGCGAACGCTTCTTAATGCTGGGATGCCGGGTTCGATCTCAGCTGCGGGCCATGTGCCTTGCGTTGGTTTCGACAGTGGTATCAAAAAAGCTGACCGTCCCGAAAGCAATGGCAAACTACTGGACATAAATTTGCCTAGAAAAACCACACAACGGCTAGGGTCGGTTGGGATTGGTTCTGCAACGTCCTGTAAAAGATACGCAACTAACCAATGTATATATTACTCAGATGCACAACTCTATGGTCTGCAGGGAATGACAGTTGCCTGCAACCAACAACTGTTGACAGTAAACGTGTGAGTAAGTGATCTTTGCTGTAATCAATATATGGAAGACCAGGACAGGGCGCTTATGAAAATGACTAGATTGTTGTGATTGCTCTTGACTTAAGACAGTTCAGCTGATGAATGGCTCATGAGTTTACCATGAGAATGAATAAGTAAAGGTGAGAATGGTGAATATTCACTGAGTGATTGATCGTTCGAGACCAGTCTAGGGTACCGGTTAAAAAATCGTATATAGCCGAATCGATACGTGAGCTATTGTCACGAAAGTTCTGGTGAGTGAGATAATAGTGTTATTAGCTCTTTCGTGGATAAACACAAACTATGACAGCGAAGCCTTTTCTTTACATTTCTTTACTTTACTTTACTGTACTTTTCTAAACTGTCTTTTACTTCTGTTTACATTACTTCTTTACTTTTCTTTTCGTCACTTTACCGCCAGATAAACACAGAAACCCACCTAGAGTCGCTAGTAACAATGTCTCCGCTGATCAGTGTCATGGTCTCGTGGTATGGATTCACATTGCTGGTCCACAGACAGTTAAGAACACTTGCACTGCGAGATTTTCGTAGCAAGCCCAGAACTACGATTTCTTGCGCCCATGCCTTGATGTGTCCAGGCCCGTACACCTTGAGCAGTCCTCGTTTCCACACATCCTTTCCTGCTGCCCAACTGGCCTTCAGTCTGAGTTTTCCTGGGCCCTGGACAATTGTTATAGAACAGAATTAATAAATTTATTTGACAAGACAGTGTTCTTGAAATGTCGATGAATTAGTAATTTTTTTTTAAATTATAGCAGGTATTTAATTACATTTTTGCTGTTGACACTTTTTTCCGTTTATCCAGACAATAGTATTATAGTGTAAGCATACTTTTTATTTTTTCTCAAGGCTATGCCGGCGTGGTGGGTAATGAACAGGCAGACAGATTGGCTTGATCATTACCTCTGGGTGGTGAACTGATACATGACAAGGCAGATGTGGTCAAGGCCCTTTGGAAACAATCAATGGAATCAGTAGAGATTGAAGGTTATTATGGCCTGGAGATAATAAGACATCTGGGTGTAACCAGAAGGTCTGGCCGGCTGAATACACTTATAGAAAAGGCAAGACGGATATATAACAAGATTGTGACCGGTACCATCAGTACTGGAACTCTGCGCTGGCGCTGAAGATGAGGACGGAGCATGCATGGGAATACCCCGAGTGCTGTGATGTCAATTTTTGACTCAACTAAACTCAACTTAACATAGTGTGCTACAATGAGTCACTGGACTCACAGCCCATGGCGATGGCGAATGTGACTAGCAAGAGCCGCCCGCGTAAAGAAAAGTCGTCCCTAATTAGAGCATTGCATTTTAGGACCGCTATTGCTATCATATTCATTGAGTGTGTTTCTTCTCTAACGCTCAGCTCTCTTCCTTTCTAAATTCTTCTTCTTCTTCTTTCGTTCGCTTGAAATATATTATCTATATCTGCAATGTTCTATCTAATAAGAACTTCACTGTCTTTTGTAATTCACTCAGCGACCCGTAAATTTTGGCTTCAACGGGTGTTCTCTTGGCCAGAAGTTTTGCCTTGATATGTTGAATTTGGGACAGCCTTGGAGGATGGGATCTGTTGTCTTAGATGCCAATCCACATGTGCACATGGCTGATTCGCCAATCTTAAATTGTGTGTACATGTGGCTGCGAAACCGACTGTGCCCTGTTCTAAGGCGTAGAATAATGACTTGTGCTGCTCGTTCCATAGTAAAGTTAATCGTCTTGTGCCAGTTTTTGTGGCTTTCTGACTGATTTGAAAACCCTCTTCTTCTGTTTATAGAAGACTGGTACCTCAGGCTGTTCTTCACTTGCACCTTCCTTAGCTCGCTTGTCAGCTCTCTTGTTTCCGGGAACACCACGGTGAGATGGTTTCTTTCTGCAATCATTTCTACCTTTATTCTTATTCCCTTTCTGTTTTGTCGCCTCCACGCAGCACAGTCCATGGCATAAACTAATTGAGCATATTTTTTTTTTTTAATCTCTTCGTTTTTTGGAAATCGAAAAGACGAGGCCGAGTCGATTGCCACTCAGGCGATATTTCAAAATTAGAAAAGATATCTTATACACACCCCTGATGTTCCAGTCGTAGTTAATTTGCGGTATGGGCAAGTCTTATGCAGTCTATCTACATGGGTTGGTGTGGGGAAGTGGGTGAGGGTCTGGGAGATCTGGAGAGGGAGGGAGTGCTGAAGCACTCAGGGAGATATCAGTATGCAGTGAAAAGAGTTCCTAAACCAAGCTAGGCAAACAGTAGCGTCTTGTCGACAATACATTTGTGGCCTTCAGGTTTTAATGTGAGCCTTGAATACTGCTTGTCAATAATATCATCAAGACTGTCCGTGAATCTCTTATTTTCGAGGTGTGAAAAGTGTGTGGTGCTCGCCAGGCTTCATCACAACGGACACTGTTTTTTTACCTTTGGCCTTTTTTATCAACGTCATCTGAGGCGAAACTAAACCAGATCTGTAAAACATGTACAAAATAAATCTCCTTCTTCGCGTTCACCAGCTGTAAACTCTGGCGGAAGGTTCTGGTTTCTCGTCCACTACTGAACTGCAGTCCTGCTCCAGAACCTGAGTGTTGTGTGTGCATCAGTTTTACAGATCTCATTCTCTTCAATACAGACTGTCGGTTCCTTGCCTCTCCGGCAGATGCACTCCGACTTCAAAGGAAGCTCCCCAATTAGTCGACTCTTACGACATGCTTTTGGGGAGGCAGTGGGTCTATTCTTGTTTTCCCCACAATGGGGCCCCGGAACCCACACGGGGGACAAAATAAATGATACTCATCTGTGTCCCTGGCGAAAAACTTCCTTCAAAAGGATGTCATGGACAGGTACTGGCGTATTTATCACCAACGCACGGACGGGGAGCAAAGAACGGGTACACTATAACGAGGAAATGGACGGAGTAGTGTCTAAAGAGGGAGGGGTTGGCCAATAAGGCGTGACCCGGGTTGGTCTACGCAGTACCGGCACCCTTTAGGCATAATTTTTTCAGCCCTTCTATAAGAATAAGAATAACTCCACATGGGAGTGTGCACAGCAAGGATCCACCGTCATCAGTAAAAAGATCCTTCGTCGACAATTGTTTCGGCCCATTACTTTCTAGACAATCTTGGAAGGTTGGCCCCACCTGATGCATGACTCCAGGTCTCGATCTTCCCCTGCTGCACTTTATCGGACTCTCGGACAGGGGGACAAGACGATTTGGTGACTTTGCAACAGGTGTTGTGCGATTTGGTGTTAAAGTGTTGCTGCGGTAGCAAATTAGACGAGTCGACTACCTTAAAGACCAGACTGACAACTGAACGGTTGGTTCATCGGACAGGTGTTAGACTTTGGCATTTGGCGCAGAGATACTGGCATACATTTATCGAACACTTTGGCTCTAAGGGATAAAAAGTCTCTCCACTGTAATAGACTCTTTGTGATGAGAAGGCACCTTTTCTAAAAAAAATTATATGGTGAGTACCAGCACCTTTTCTAAACAAAATTATATGGTGAGTACCAGCACCTTTTTTTTTTTCTAGAAAAAGTATAGTAAAAAAAAAAGTAAAGATCCCTATAAACGCCCTTAGGCGCATCGGGCATATGGCAAGAGCACCCATATTATTACAGACCAATCGGCACTCGGTGGGTAATGTGGTCAGCATTGCGCCGGCCGTCTTTACTTTCCTAGGACAGCCCATCCTGGTACCCATTTGAGGCTGGGTCGACCTGCGACGTCCCATACCACGATAAAAATCCACGCAGCCCACGTAGGTTTCGATCGCGGTACGTTGGATTACGAGTCAGACTCGCAACGCCTTAGCCACGGACACCGCAGAAAAAAAGTATAAGACCTGCAAATACCCACCTCTGTCCTGATGAGCTCCAACTGTTTGAGTCTGTGATGGGGCTCCTTCTTTTGACCCGTTTTGTCGTAGCACAGACCGCTCCAGAGAAACATCTTTACCGAGGCCAACACTACATGAAACAGACCCACACAAGCCAGCGATAGGAGGGCTACCCACTGGGGCACCGGGAGATAGTTGCCGTTTGTGTAGATAACAATTGTCACAACCAACAGCGAAACCATCGCTGACGACAGTTCAAGTATGGAGAACTTGTGCAGCGTTTTGCTTTGCTCAATCTGTGTAGCAAAAATATAAAGGTTTTATATATATAGTGTGTGTGTGTGTGTGTGTGTGTGTGTGTGTGTGTGTGTGTGTGTGTGTGTGTGTGTACAGACATTGTATACAGGCACATATTAAGGATATATGATACTCCTAAGCACTCTACTATTAATAAATACGTTGTAAAATTATTTACTTCAGGTTTAATTAATATTAAATTGCATTGCTGTATTTAATTGTAAAAATAAGCTGACCACAGACCACATCACCCATCTTGTGCCGATTGATCTATTAAATATAGGTCTAGCCCTATATGCCCTATACGCCTTAAGGCGTGGAAAAGGGTACTTTACTTTTTGCGGTACTTAGAGAAATGCCTTTCTTCTTCATTCAGCA